TAAGCTCCTGACTTCCCTTTCCTCCTCCAAATACTCCCTTAATGCCCAAGTCTTCTAACGTTTTAAACTGTGTATTCCCTAGTGCAATCCTAACCAGGACCTTTCCCTTTTTCAGACTTGCAGCCTTCAGGTTTGATGAAGGCTATGAGTAATTATTACCTAATGAGGTTACTATATATTTGCTTTTTTAAAAACATTCCTCCATAATTCATTTCCTTCCACACTTATTGCTCTGAAAATGCTGCAGTTTTTCCATGTCTTCCTGGAGTTTGTGACACTGATTATACTATTAGTGTCTGTCTTCAGAAAGTAATGCTTTTTCAACACTAAGCAAATAATAAGACCCGTATACTTCTTGGAATTTTAAGCAAACACACAACTTACTGCCTTTAAAATGATTGGGTCTGCAGGGGTTGCTGGGAAAAGTCCTGCAGAGGTCAGGGCGTTCAAGAAATACAGTAAAATTTGGGTCAGCAGTCACTAGGATAACTCATTACTGCTGCTGGTGTGCTTGGTCCCCCACAGTCCTGTTGATTTGGAGTTGATTTGGTTAATGTAATCACCAGTAAAAGCACAGTCATTCCAAGCGTACATGCCTATGCGTGCTCCTGATAAATACGGTATTTATTTGCATATCACATACATTTTTCCCCTTCCAAAAAAAGGTCAGCTCTCCAAAATTGGGGTGTGCATGTCTTAAGCAAGGAAGCTGATTTTTCTTCTCTGGAATAGAAGCATGGAGATGCTATGTTCCAATGGCTACCAAAATGTCCAGCAAGCAGAAGGGGAGGAGGCCAGCGTTAACCATTTCACAGCTGCAAAGGAATTGCAAGAGCTAGTGGCTGAGCACTGGAGTTCGTGCCTGGAGCAGCAATTGAGCTGGGTTAGGACAGGTGAGATTCTGCATGCAGTCTGTAGTATCTGGATGAGGCTTGTGGTATGGAAACAACACTTTACTATTTACAGGAACTTGTATACAGAACTATTTACAGTAAAGAAGTAAGTCTTCCTGCTGCCCTGAGAAGGGTCTGGGGCCTTGTCTTGCTACACCAGTAAGTTCCTGCTGTCTCTCGCAGAAGGTCTCCCGGGACCAAGCTTTCCAGGCGTTCTGTCACGTGGCTGATCATGATGGGAAACATCTCTTCTACATTTTGCCTACCAAAAACAAGGTGCGTGTCTTATTTGGGGGCATGTGGCAGGCAAGAAAATACAGCAGCGCATTGAAAATATGCCAACCTGCACCCTCCAAAGCACTGATCAAACCTTTAATAGCACCGGATAGCTGTTCCGTTTTGGTGAATTAACTTCTATTTTGGCAATGTGTACATGAGAGCGCAAGGCAACAATCTTCAATTATTGTACTCCATTCTAACCATCCAATCACAATCAGTAGGCACTCTGCTTTTTTTTTTGGCAAGAAGCTGCACATTAATTACCCACCTGTATAATTACACAATTCTCCTATAGTGAGCCAGACTGCTTACAACAGTTCCAAGTGCAAATTGTAATATATAGATTTTTCTTCATTATGCCTCTCAAAAATCATTTTTTCTGTCTTGAGATGGCGTGCAAAACACATCTCATGAAAAGTTGAAAGTGACTAAGTGCTAGTAATTAGTCATTAACTAATAATTAGTTATTACGTCGTCATTAACTACTGGTAATTAGTCACTCAGGGATCATTAGTCACCCCTACCAATCCCCCTGGAGGGACAAATTAATGAGATTTTACTGTAATAATAGCCCTTCCCCTGGATGAGGTTGTCAGTGAGAGGTATAGCCAACCAGAGGGAAGTAGGTTATATTTATGCATTGGAAATCGTGGGTAAAGCCCTGTGTCGCTTGGTGGTAACACATACTATAATTAACTTTGTTTCAGCAAATGTGCTTGAGGCTAGGTGATTTATTTCAATTTCTCCTGCAAGTGGACATTGCAAAGCATGTCTAGGCTGACTATGCCATATAAGGATGGCAAAGGGGGGTTATTTTCTCACTTGTGTTGCTTTTGTATCTATGACAGTAAAAGGAGAGTCCAGCATAGATGTCCAAACAACGGATCAGACTGACGTATGGCTGACGGGCAAGAGTTTTGTGGGTGATATCTGGGATGTATTTGGTAGCCGTATTGGTCTGAAACAAAAAGAAATGCAAAACTCAAACTCTTGGTTCAGAGATACGATACCTTTTACATCCCAGAGGGACTGCAATGACTTGGAGTTGCCCCGCTTGCCTGCTATAACTCCTCACCCAAAGTGTGACCAGAGGAGCATGGGACTGGCGGATCATAGTGAGGATGTAACGGAGTCAGCACAAGGGAGGTTTCAGTTGGCCTCTGGAGTAAGTCAGCAGAAGGTCCGTCGTGGGGGAAGCAGGGAGAGAACTGGGACTCAGAGAGGTATCTGGCACAATCGGGTTGAACGTGTGCGAGGTAAGCAAATTTCGTTGAAATGAATGCCTTGCCAATAAAACCTGATTATTGGACCAGATCATATGAGCAAATGGTAACTTAAATATAAGGACAATCGCAGCGTACTTTTTGCTTGCTTTGCTTTATCGTTGTCGGCCAAAGTAACGGATTATCTCCTGATGCTGTTGTGACGCTCACTTTTATCAGTCAGAGCATTAAAAATAGGCATGGTATTTTTCTTGCGTTTCACTTCTGACTTGCTTCAAGAGCTCTCTAATCCTCTTCATAAAACAATTGTGAATTTTTCCCCCAAATGAGTGGCGCACTTTGTTACAGTAAAAGATGCACAGAAATTACACGCGTCCTCTTCACAAACGCTCATATGGCTCATTTCAACCATAGCACTCGCTTTTCTGAATAATGTGCAATGTACCCTTTTCACTTCTGGGTTTTTATGGACAAAGCTGTACTTGAAGTATAAATATATAAAGCTAAAAATGTGGGGAAGGCATGAACGTTGAATATTCAATATTCATATTGTTCTAAATAAAAGCAGCTTAGTTTTGTACACTTCTGACTGAGTATCAGTATTTTTGGCTTTTGAAAAGCCCAACCTTCCAAAACCATCTTGATGCCCATCTTGCTGGGGTCATCTGGTCCCAGCAGTCTTTCCTGCCCAAGTGCAGGGGACTGGACCCGATGATCTGTAAGGTCCCTTCCAGCCCCTAACATCTATGAAACCTGAACTATATCCATATCTAATTGCTCCCTCTCTTGCAATGAAATAGAGACTTAACTCTTATGAAGGCTCAATAGCTAGTAGAAGGACATAGAGTTTGCTAATGTATGAATAGCAGCTATTTGTGCTAATCCAGTGAAGTAGAAAACCCAAATCACAGTACTTCTCTCTAGGTTCGAGCACATCTCACACCTCTCAGAATCCATGGCCTAGTCCTTTTGTCGCACGCTACGTGCAAGTGTTTTGCATGTATAGGAAGGGTGTGCTTCTGGCTACTTGTTGTTGAGCCAAATAGGATGATCAAATATTGCAGTTCTTTGTGGGGAGATGGGCAATAAAATATGCCTAGAGAAATAAGGGGGATGTTGGGAGTGCGAATGGCAAATGGTCATTGAGCAAATGAAGTCAATAGTGAAAAGTCACAGAAATTACTGAAAAATGTCCATTCCCTTCTCTGTGTGTATCTTTTTTGTAGAGCTAATGGCACCGGTTCCCGGCACCGACAGAACACCTTGCAGATTCTCATTCGAGGCTTTTAGGCATGATGATATTGAAGTGTATCATTAACAGGTGTGTCTGAGTTGCTGCAAAAAAATCTTTATCTTCTTGCCTGTGGTCTTTTTAAGGGTGAGTACTGAACGCATCTGGAACCTTTTCATGTAATACAGATACATTATAGTTGGCAAATGGTTGTTTCTTTTTCTCTGACAAATTTAATTGCATTTTTTTACACAATTTGGGATTTCACTCGAGAAAAGAACAGTCTTATTTTTGATAACGTAAAGACTTTTCATTTCCCCCCCTTTTGGCCCCCCAATTCATGGTATTTTGACATTTTCCCTCCAGTTTTAGAGGTGTGAACATTTTTTGCAAGAATTTCTATTTAGTCCAAAAGGTGCAGTTCTTTGAAAAAAAGGAAGAATTTAATTGACCAGCTATACTCTCTATCTGTATAAATAATACATAAGTATATAAACAAATAAGTAAATAAGATTAATACAAGTTTACTCTTACTGTAATATAGCCTGTAAATCCAACTATTATAATGAGTTCAGTGTGCGTGTGCTTGCACGTGTGTGCATTTGTGCATGCATGCGTGCGTGTATGTGGTTATACACAATATCCAACAGTTGTGACTACTATAGTTATGGTTACAAGAAGATCTCCATTCAAATGTCCTGTTCTCCATCTTTGCAGCTTTCTGAAAACTTCTTTTTGGGCTTAAATTCCTTCTCTGCCTCAGGGGAGATTTTCTTTTTAAAGCTGGAGAAAATACCTTCAGAAGTTTCTAAGATAGAAGAGTTAAAAAAAAAAAAATGTTTTCCCATTTAAAAAAAACTCCAGCTAACTTTTTCTTCGCATCAGAAAAACAGCTGAAGCTCAATCTCTAAACTCACTGCATTGGTGGCTTTGCTAAATTGCATGCGCTTTGCCAAGTTTTTCAAGGGGAAATAGTTTTAAAACAACTTCTGGAAAATGCTGGAGGGAGCCAACACAATAAAAAATTCTGCTTAACGCTCAGCGGTGTCGTGGACGCTCCACGCGGGTCAATTGGTGTGGACATGTTAACTCCTCTTCTCATTTGCAATGGATATCCCATTCCTTTTCTAACTCTCTTTTTCTTCTCTTCCCTCCTTTTCTCTCAATGAGGTCTGTGTTTTCACAGCCAATAGGGGCAACATGACCCGGCTGACATCCTCTGTGCCCCGGAGGTCAGCAGTTAAACATCCACATGCCGGCTGAAAGGCTCACAACCGTAGTCTGCTTTGCTCTCAAGGTAACAAAAGGGAGGTGAAAATAGGGAAATGTGTGAAAGCGTTATGGTCCTAATTCAAACCTGCGAGTTGCTAGAGCTCAGTGCGTTGGCAAACTCTGGCTGCCCCCACCGTTGTTCCTGCGATCGAGATTTTCATATGTAGAATCCTGAATTGGTTGCCTGGCAATAAAAGAGGTAAGTTAAAGGCTCCTGTATCTTACCTGCTCATCAGAGTTGATGTAACCTTTGAGGACTCAGCTGACATTGTTCCAAGTTTACAAGGCATCAGAGTAAAAGTGATGGTAGCCTGCTGTATTTGAAGCAGTTTCCCTTCTCCAAAATTTTCCTTTTAGGATTACTTTTTTTATCTGAAAGACTCCAACAGTATCTCCTAAACTCTCTGCATAAGATACTATTACACCTAAGACGCTTTCTCCTGAACCTCAGAACATAGCTAGACAAGGTTCCTTGGGTGAATTTGATATCTTTTATTAGACCAACCCAAATGGTTGGAGAATAGTTATTAAGCAAGCTTTCGGGTTCAAAAACCCTTCGTCAGGCTCAGGAAGCTTCAGCAGTTGGTGTGTGCTCTTCCTGGATGAACCTCTTGGGCTAGGAGAATAGCTATAGGACAGGCATTTTCATGCACAGAGCACACAAGACTTTGGTTTTTAAGCTGGTATCCAGAACAAGAGACTGCATGAGATCTGACGGATAACCACTTCTGCTGGGATTTGACTGTCTTCCTGGGCATCCAAGTTGGGCTTGCCTATATGTAAAAGGGTTTGCTGATTTTCTGGAAGAAATGTTTTCTAGTACAAGTTGTTTTGCTGCTATAGCTTAAAGCAATTCTCCAAGCTGACTGGGGTGATACAAGTGAAGGGAGTATTTTGCCATTGTAATGGTGTTTATATTAGGCTTTTTGCTAGCCTAGCTCTATGATGAGTGACATAGATAGCTATATGAGCAACATTTCAAGAACAGACCAAGCCTTCAAACAGTAGAGTCATTATAGACTTTCACCAGCGTAGTGTAGACCAGGGATGGCCAAGTGGTATGGGCAGTCTGTGTGGCATGAGGGAGATCAGGAAAAGAAGCAGGCAACACAGCAGCAGACAAGGTAGGAAACCAAAAGCAGAGCAGAGGTTTGGGCAGGGAGCACCAGGAAGACAGCGGAAAACAGAGCAGCAGATCAGGCAAGGAAGGGGATCAGAGTAGCGTTCAGGGAGAATGTAGGGCTAATTGGTGACACATCTGCCAAAAAAGGGTGGCCCCCAGTGCAGACACAGGTATCCTGTCCAAATTGTGCTTTATCAACACGGCTTGTTTTTCTTTGAGAAAATGATGGTTACTTTCCCAGCACGAAGTGCAGTCTGTTGATTTGGCTGCATCCACATGAGCAGGGCTTTGCTAGTGGACTCCAGCAGGATTCCTATCCCAGTAAAGCATGCCTTGTGTAGACACTGCCTAAGCTCTTTACCTGCTTGTTGGGATATGGCTACACAGAATTTTTAATCTCAGACTAATTGACGGTCAATTAATGATTTTTTTTAACACTAGTCCCCTCCCCAAAATTTATTCCACGCCACAGATATGCATGGCTTTCTTGCATGCAGACCAGGAACAACACGCACATGCACACTAACTGCAGATGCTTCCTCAGCCTGACGAAGGGTATTTATCCCCAAAAGCTTACAAAGAAGAATTTTTCCAACTATCTGAGTTGGTCTAATAAAATATATCAGATTTACCCAAAGAACCTTGTCTGGCTTACATGAGGGCTTCAACCTCCCGTGAAGAACAGTTGTTTCGGTATCTGGAAGAAATGTTCCTGGAGTGCCCAGAGCAGGTGTTAAAATGAATTCACTTCCACAGATTAATTTTAGGTCACAAAATTTAGCACTGGGTGTCGCCTGGTACTGCTGTTGACTGAACATGTGAAAGGATCACACCCCTAAGCTGCTCTAGCTGTGTTGACAAAACCCCTTTTGAAGTTGCAGCTAGGCTGGCAAAGGGGGCGTTTGTCAAGTTGTGTAAGTGTCTCTGTGCCTTTCTGGGAAGGGCAGCACTTCAGTCAAATAGGCCTGCTCTACGTGTTACAGGTATTGCACAATTACCTGGTTAATTATGCAGTTACCTCAAGACCAGCTACCATGTGCAAAGTAGCTAGCACTCAATAAAAAGCTCCGACCAGCTATTAAGTTAGACCTTGAAAATGGGCGCTAACTTTATAGCTGGTTGCTCCTGCCTAGTGCACGGGGGCTGGACTCGATGATCTTGCGAGCCCCCTTCCAGCCCTAATGTCTGTGAAATCTATGAGATTGAATGTGCTCGTGTAGCAGGGTGTCCGGTGGCTGGGAGAGCCCCGTGAGCTGACAGGGCTCCCAGCTGCAGGGGTGCACCATACCCAGATGGAGCTGCCAGTCCTGCAGCTGTTTAGGCCTCTCAGCCCCAGCAGCTGTGGACCCAGAGCTGCAGATGCTGAGTCCCCACAGTGTGCCTCTTGGCTGTCACCCTGGTCCAGAGGTGCGTGAAATCCCTGAGATGGGAGGGTCCCCCCTGCAGTGATTTCCCCTCCCTAGGGGTGTGGAGGGCTCCTCTGTGGCTGGGGATCCCTCAACTGGGGTGCATGGGGCTCCCAGCTGCAGGACCTTGCTTGCAGTGCAGGGGGAGCCCAGGATCAGGCACCCCCTGCACTGGTAAGAAGGCACCATGGGATCTAATGTGCAAGTGTGGGATTGCACCTCCTGCCATACACGTGTGGCATGGATCCCGTTGCACCTTTGCCTGCATGCCACAAATGCATACATGAAGTTAGCCAACGTCATTGGAGTAATGGGGTCGTTGCATCAGAAGAAAACCTCCTTCTGTCAGCACATGGCATCTCTGTTAGGGGACTGAGTGGATGCAGCTACAGTTGCAAAATGTCTTCTAGAGTAGCTGGCAATTGCTGAGGGCTGGACGACACGGTTTTTTTGGCTCACTGTTAACCTAGTTTACATTACTGAAACTCTTTGACGTGGATGTTGTATATAGGCAATCGTGTGACTTGGCTGCCAAAAAGGCATTAGCAGGAGTGTTGCCAGCAGATCGAGGGAAGTGATTCTTCCCCTCTATTCAGCACTGGTGAGGCCACATCTGGAGTCCTGTGTCCAGTTGGGGCCCCCCACTGCAGAAGGGATGTGAACAGATTGGAGAGAGTCCAGTGGAGGGCAATGAAAATGGTTTGGGGGCTGGGGGACATGATTTAGGAGGAGAGGCTGAGGGAAATGGGCTTATTTAGTCTGGAGAAGAGAAGACAGAGAGGGGATTTAATAGGAGCTTCAACTCCCTGAATTGGGGATCGAATGAGGATGGAGCTGGACTGTCCTCAGTGGTGGCAGATGACAGAACAAGGAGCAATGGGCTCCAGTTACAGCAAGGGAAGCTTAGATTAGACATGAGGAAAAACTTTCTTATGAGGAGGGTAGTAAAACACTGGAAGAGGTTACCCAGAGAGGTGGTGGGATCTCCATCCTTGGAGGTTTTTAAGACCCAGATAGACAAAGCCTTGGTTGGGATGATGTAGTTGGGGCTGGTCCTGCTTGGAGCAGGGGGTTGGACTAGATGTGACGTCCTGAGGTCCCTTCAACCCTCATTTCTATGATTCTATGACATGGCTATACCACTATTACGATGCTTTTGTCAGTATAGCTTATCTTTTTGTATTGATACAAGCACCTGTATGCTAATATAAAACTGTCTGGGACAGCTCTTAGACTACAAGTTTGTTGCAAAGTCCAGGAAAAGATGCAGTTGTTTCCTTAGCTGATAGGAAGCCTAAACTTAGTTACATGGTAAAAGTCTTGACTTTCTTACCGAGACAGACTGCCCGGACCACTGAAGCAATCTGTAGAGTGAAAAGAAGGAGGAGAGTTAGTTTTTCTGTCTCTTCTGACCAGGGAGAGGTGAGAAATCAGCAATGCAGGTGAGTTTTGAGAAACTGCCCTACCTGGTGTACACAATTAGCAAAGCAAATGAGAAGTTCTGCCACTTGGGTCCTGATTAGCCTGCCAGGCTAGTGGGAATGACATGTCTGGTTATAAAAGGCAAAGTAGTTTTCTACCCTCCTCTTGGATGTCATTTTATAATTTCCTTTTATCTTTCAAGAGTGGCTCCTACACATTTTCGGTCCAAGACAGTAATTGCACATACAGCAATTAGTGAAGTATGATCTGCTCTGATAACAAAGGCCAGATTTCTCAGGTCTGATTCCAGCTTTGATGCATCACAGTACAGACACCGTACAGGACAGGTTACCGGTGACTTGTGTTAAATTACTTTCTTAGCCACGGGGGTGTAGGTTGTAGCCGTGTTGGTCTAAGGACATAGACAGACAAGGTTCTTTGGGTGAATCTGATTTCTTTTATTAGACCAACTCAAATGGTTGAAAAAAAACTTTTTAGCAAGTTGATTTGTGTTCTTCCATCCATCCACTGCAGAGACTTCCTCAACCTGACAAAGGGTTTTTAAACCTGAAAGCTAGCTAAATTTTTCCCCCCAACTATTTAAGTTGGTCTAATAAAAGATATCAGATTCACCTGAAGAACCTTCTCTTTCTTAGCCACAGTCTTTTTGTGTGACCTTGAGAGAGTCGCTTTATCTCCTTTCCCATTGTGCAGAATGGAGATAATATGCCTCCATGCTGCCCTTGCGGGGCTTTGTGGGGACAAGCATCTGTTAATGATGCTGAGGCTCTTGGACATTACAGTGCTGAGGGTCTAGATCAGCGGTTCTCAGCCTGTGGTATGTGTACCACCAGTGGTATGTGTTAACAGGTTTATTATAATTACTTTATATGACAAAACATTGCTGATGGTACTTAAGGTTGAACTGAAAAATTTGCTAGTGGTACTTAAGGTTGTATCATTTTAAATTGGTGGTGCGCAGTTGGGGAATCGCTGGTCTAGATGGACCTGTGTGGCCATAAAGAAGCCCTTTAACCTTTCTGCTGCCGTCCTGCTACCTATGAAATGAGGAGGCGGCGGTTATAAGGCCCAAGTGGCTTTGTGGAGTACGCAGGAGGCGAGTACAAAGCAGTATAAATTAGTCGACTTTAAAATATTTTACACTGTACATTAAAAATGGCCTTTTCAAACTGGGAATCTGCAAATTCCTAAACTGATCTCTAGACACACTGAAACCACTGCGTATTTAAAAAAAATGCGTCAGAGAATAAGGACTCAATACCTCACCCCCATGACTAGTCACCAGGGAGTTTCCTGTTTCTCCTTCTTCGTGTTGATTTTCCATAATAGCCATTATTCCCAGAGGGAAAAATGATCTAGGCTGATGTTATGCCTGCCTTATGTTTATACTGCCTCATGGTGCTAATT